TATAAATATATACTTAATATATACTTATATTCACCTATATAAATGCACACCCACCCCCACTTAACGTGTGCGCATGGCTTCCGGCTAAAATCTAAAGAAGCCACCGCATACACAATGCAACCACTTGACTGCCAGACACCTCTAAATATAAATAAACATGCACAGGCATGCTTACTTACACACGCACACGTGTGAATTTGTGTGTTTACTTTTGCTTTTGCGTTAAAGATTGTCGCCGCTGATACACACACAAATGTTTGCATTGACGACGATAAAACCAAAAGCGTTGTGATTGCCGCTATTGTTGTTCTTGTTGCTAACAACGTTGCTTTTGATTTGTAACGCTTGCAATAAACAAAAGTAAATACAATTTACAAGTTGCAGCTTTTTGGCAAATATTTCTTCCACGTTGGAGAGGTGAAAGATCGAAAAATTTACTAAGCGTGAAAGTGTCGGGCTGCGTGACATTGAAGCCACCGAAAAATGTGCAAGCATGTAGCACACATGTAACCGATAACACATAAGAAGGTGCTATTTTTACTAATGGTTTGATTGGTGTTTTGGAGAGGGAGCATACTTTTGTAAAAATATAAATATATGAAGTCATTTTAAGTGGTTTTCAATACTCAGTGCATTGTTTTTGCATACATACATACACACAAATACACTGAGTAGTGTAAATTGCTTTTATTTTATTTTCATTAACATTACATAATTTCGATATACACCGTTTTGCATGAAAATCATTAAAACTCTTCATGTCTGAATAATTTTTTTAGCTTTATACAGTTGTATTGAAGTAGCCAGTAGGAATTTTTTTACACTTTAGAGGATTGTAACTCAAAAACTATTGGAGATATCAATTTAAATAAGTAAAGTAAATAATTAAATTTTGGTATGTTATTTTTAAAGGTATAGTCTATCGAAACAAGCAGAAAATTTTTTTTTTTTTAAATTTTAGACTATGTGAGCCCCTTAAAGTTCAAGAACCCCAAAACCATAACCCTTATTACCAAAAAATTAAAGGATGACCTTCATTTCTCTGGATAAAATATAAATTTTTTTTTCTGATTGACGTGTCCCATTTTTTATAACAGCTTAAATAAGAGAAGACCAAAAAAAAGGTTAATCGTGACAAAATTTTGCGTGCAAAGTAGAAATTTGTGTTTATTTTTTATCGAAAGTGCAAAATAGTCACATAAAAATTAGTTATATCCAATTGAGGTTATATAACAAACCTCTGATTATACGAAAGCTTTATCGAACGTCGAATTTATTTCAAAACTCAATGTATGTTTCTAAATAAATTAAAATACTCATTTAAAACTGGTGCTAAAGTTAGCTATTCAAGAACATTTTAGGAGAATATTGTGTATGCAAAAAATTTATTTGGTAATTTTTCTACAATATATTTTTGGCTTATAAAATCATATTAACAACGACGTAAAGGTATAAAAACCTCAAATTATAGTTGTGTAGCTTTCATTATTCCTATTGACTCACTGTGTGTAATGTACATATGTACATATCAAGTATATGCAAAGTATCATGCCTTTAGTTCTGGCAAAGTGAATGCCAATTTATTCCAACATTTTGGTATGCAATATGCGTTAAAAGCTTTTACTATTTGTTTGCATACTTTCAGGCGTGTAGTCTGCATACGTAGGCTTCTAGGTGTTTACAAAGGTGGTTTGCAAAGTACCATATTTGCAATTTTTTCATAACAGCAATATTTGCATTTCTTGTAAACTTTTATTACATGTTTTCTTGTCGGAAAATAACGAAAATATGAAAAATTGCTGGCGACATTTGTATATGTGTGCATATGAATATAAATATGTATATTCATGTTCAACCTTTTGTTATTGTTTTTATATATGTATATATACCTATGAGAAAAAATAAGCATTATGCTGTAAAACCATTACTTTGCGTATGAACTATCAGAAAATTTATTACCGAAAATAAAAAAAAAACAATATTGAAACGTGTGCATTTTGTGTAAAATTGTAAAAATACGTTTATTGCGTACATGATATTTTGGCAACACTTTCTAAAAAGCTCCCAAAACTTTGATCTCATAACTTCGTCACAAGGCAGAGACTGTCAAAAATTAGTCCTTGTTTAATAAAGGCTGGTTTACAAATGTTCAGAATTGTTAGATATTAAAAAATTTAAATATTTTTATTTATGTGTATTATTTTAACACATTTTAGTGTATTCTATTTCATTATGCAAAAATTGTTCTTGAATAATTTATGCCACAAATTTCTTTTTTAGATTTTTTTGTTTAGTGATAAGTGTGGAATTTATAAACTAATGATCCCACTGAAAATAACACTTCAAATATTTCTCAAATAGTTATAATAATATATCTTTTGATACCTATATTACAAGTATAATAATTAATTTTTTAATATTTTGAATTAAAACTAAAAAAAGTGGCAACCTTATAATTTTGTTATACCCTGAAAACGGTATATTTATTTTTTACGAAATTTGGAGCGTTCGTCTTTAGCCTTGTGCGTCTGCCTGTCAGTATATACACGAACAATTCTCTCTTTATTTGAGATATCGCGCTAAAATTTTGTACACGTCTTTTTGTTTCCACAAAGCTGCTCATTTGTCGGAATCGCACTACTATAGGATATAGCTGTCATACAAACTGATCGATGAAAATAAAGCCATTGTAAGGAGAACTTTATTTTTACAAGATATCTTCGAATTTGGCACCGATTATTGTCTATGTTTTTAATAAAGGCAAATTGCATCTAAATCGGTTCCCCTTTCACCACATTTGGCTACCCTGGTCATGTGATTTGACTACTCAGAAACGAACATTTGTTATATTTTTGACGGCAGCAGATTATCTGCACTATACTACAAAAGCTAACTACTAAGCTACTTTCACAAAATAAACAAAAATATTCATTTAAGATTTTTACATAATATTGCCTGGTTGCAATGTATAACTTATTAAAAGGTATAAATATTATTTATTTTCTCATATATTTCTAGTGGAATCTTATAAAAACCGAAAAAACAAAAACCATGGTATACGTTGAGGACAATGGTGAACCAGGTTGCAAAACTGTCTTGGAAGTAAATCAACGATATCGTAATTTTGAAGATCCCACCTCATATTGGCAATGCGGTCTACAAGGTCAACCGGCCACAATGGTGCGCTGTGATCCGAATAAACTCTACTCAGAGGCGGAACAAAAGTGCATTGACTGGAAGAAATGGCATTGGACAGATCCAAAAGAGCCACCCAGTCGACCAAATAAAGCAAACAAGTAAAGGACGAGCAGAATATTGCTGAGTAGACTGTAAAAAATTAGTGTGTGGAACAAACTTAGCAGTGGTTTAAAAAAAACATTAGATTATTATAAAATATCATCACTCTAATAAGTTAAGACAAGCAAAGCTGATATATTTGCAAATAAATTAAAAGTAAGACGTTCTTGTTGGTCATTAGAATGAAGAAGAAATTGTTAGAATAAAATAAGTGAGTATATGTATTTCTCTCTCTCCCTCTATGTATATCTCTCTTAAAACCATACACGTGTTCATCAAATATTTTTCGTATGAACACCATCGGCTCGGCTGGGCGGCAAACAGCGAATTTATATTCAAAGCGCTAATTAACGGTTTTTGCATTTCACATAACTGGGTTTCATCTCTCACCACATCAGCGACAATTATTAGCCACCACAAACATTTTCTAAGCGTTTGCCAATTATACTGTCAATCATAAATTCGCTTTTCATTGTGTTTGTCAGCCGAACTTTATTTAAGTTTGTATGTCGTTTGGCATCTCAGCCACTCAACTGGTTGCTAGCAATCACTGAGTTTCTCATCTCCGCAATCATCCCTGTGCTACATTTACATTACCCGTATACTTCTACAGTATTGTTCGGTCGCCGATTTTGACTGTTGTGAGTGCGTAAAGCACCCGCCACCGCGGTCCAGGACCGTTGGACCGTTAACAGCGTAAATACCCGATTTTATGTACCTTTTGGTCGCTTTATTTCGTTATGTTGTTGTAAAGTGACTTAGCGCGTTCATTTGTATCGCTTTGAAATTGTTGTTGCTTTTCCGCTTTAGCGGCTTTATTGCTTATGGCGCTTGTTAGTGTTGTGTTTGTTGTTGCTATTGTCATCGTTGTAAACGCTTTTGTTGAGTTTGCATTCAATGTTCCATATCCTGAGTGTTCTAAGTGCTTGCGTTGCCTTTGTGAAGCTTTTAAGTAATTTTTTTTTTGTTTTTCTATCGAACTCGTGCGCTTTTAAGTGCTTGAAGCACATTACTCGGCTGTGCCGCTGATCCAGCCGCTTGTGATTGTGCCAGCTTCAGACACTTCATTGCCTTTTGGCATTTGTCGTCTGCTCTCGAATACATTTCACTTAAGCGCCTATGCCCGCAAAGGGGTTTGTATGTAAAGCCTCACTTCAACTCATAGACTTTGCAAATTTTAAATGACCCTGTAGTCAAGTTGAGCGGCCTGTAGAAATTTCAATGAATATTCTAGACTTTAAAAATTATGTCTGCATCAAAATTATTCAGACCACACCTGAATGATGTCGGTTAAAAGAGAGAACCTCTGCAGACGGAGATAGCGTGAACCTACTCCTATTTTTTTGAACCACGTCGTTTGATTATAATTATTTTTTACTAAAAGGACATTTTCTTTTTAAACTCACAACATTGAGGCTTTAGCTTTATCACATATCACGAGTTAAAGATTGTGGTAAGGTCTAGCATTCTTTAATTTTTAATCAGTACCAATTAGGGCGTTGTCTTAAAAACTTTTGTTTTGGAAGGTGATTTATTTGGTGTTAAAGTTTACTGAAGGTTTCATGGCTTATGGATGGATAGGTACATAACATGTTGTTAAAAGGCACACCTAGTGTGAAATTAAATTTTTTTCATATTTCAATATGTAACACACATCCATCTAATTTCCAAAAATTGCCTTGCACCATGCATTACAGTGAACAAACATTAATTTCAACGTGGTATGGAATGTAGTTGACATTTTTTCTAATTCCCTGTTGACTACAATTTTTCATACATACAAAGTGAAAGCAAAAACTGAAACCGAGATTAAGAGAGTTGAACATCGGTGGAATAAATCTGGATTGATATGAGCTTTAGGTAAGTTCATTAGGTTAGGTTGTAGTGGCCGGCTAGACCTACTGGTCCTTATAGCTGAAGTATTCTTCATTTTCTGTTCTCATTCGCGAACCGCTTATTGTTGGAAGACAGCGACCCGTCTCTCGCAAATATTTTTCCTCGTGGTAAACAAATACATATGTAAACTACAAAATGCGAATGTTGTGCACACAGAAGTATTATTAAATGAGACCAGTTCAGTATGTTTCCAGTCGTGCTGCATTGCGGTCGCAAATTTTGAGGTTACGCACCAAATGCAATAAGGCGTTAACGATGTAAGCAACAACAATGACAATAAGTGTTACAAAACTGAAAAGCTGAACCATAACAGATTGAAAAGCTGCGGTTTGGAAAATAACAGCTAGCGACAAGCATAATGAAATGCTGTGTAAATTTGGGCCAAAACACAGTGGTGGGCACGATGTGTCGGTGCTATGAAGCTGTGTGATATTTTCGGGTTGCGGAATTAATAGGATACCTTACACCCACACAAGTGAGACAATATTGTCGTAGTATGTGAAAAGAAGTGGAAACAGTGCCAGAATACATGCTAAACTGGGGATCTGAAAATGAATGTGACGCACGTCCGACTGCGTTCACGTGAAATCCTTTGACGGTTCACTGCTTGACTGCTTGACTCGTTGGCTTCAACTGGTGCTGCTGCCTGCCGCCTGCTGCTGCCATTTGAAATTTGAAACGCATAGCTGGCGGCGATATTGCCATCGTGTTTTTTTGTTTTTTTGGTTTGCCTTATATTTGTACATTCGCACGTGCATGTGTACGTGTGGAGCCGGGCTTGGTGGTCTCGCGCACATCCGTTAAACGAAATTGGCGTACACAGCAAATGTGGGATGCAATCCCCAAAAGATAAGAGACAGGGAACGGGCAAACACAGTTATTTGTTAGTTGAACGGCTTATGGCTGCGGCGAGTGGAATTCGCTCGTGCCACTAGAGTGTCACTTACACGAAATTCTGGCAGGTTTACGCACTTAGTTGATGGCCTGACTGGCTGCTTGGTCGTCGAACTGGTGCGTAGTGTAGGAAATGTTCCTTGGCATTTTTAGCCGTTGGTTGGATCTATTGTTGTTGCAGCTATTCACTTGTTGTTGCTGTTAGAGCTGCTCTAGTCACGGCAGTTGTGAAACGCATTCGATTGAAGAATGCATTGTCGGTGTGAGGTATTGTGGTGCAATTTCGCTGCCAGAAAATGAAAACAAACTGCCTAGCCATTTTGCTGCTGTTTTTGATGTAGCCGGTACCTCTGGTCAACATAATTGCATGCTTATAATTTTGGTAAGTACAGACCTTCGCTCGGTATTTCCAGAGGAGATAATGCTTACCAATATTTTAGAGACACTGTACGCGTTTGGTTTGCGGAGGCCGTTAGAGATGAATACTACCATTACCCAGGACCCGGATTTGGTCCTAGTGTCGACTAACAAGACAAATAAATATTTTCTGCTCTGCAGGCAATATTCATGCTAAGACTGTATTTATGTCATGCAACTTTTCTTAACTTAAAAAAGCATTCGGAGTTAGCTTCCAGTACGCTTGACGCATATATAAATTGGTGGGTAGGAAGTGGCAATTCCACAGATTTGTAGAATTAGATGACTGCTGCAGTTGCTGAGTTGAAGATTCCCAATGCCGTAGCTACCGATAATTTAGCAAGCTCGCCGCGACTTAACGAAAAATAAAGTAAAAAAAGACTTACTAAAAAGTAAAGAACAAATTACAATAACTTTGACCTATAAAAATGAGGTGCAGAGCAATATATATATTGACACCGCTCCGCTTATGACATATAAGGCTGACGTGTGAACGGTATTTAAAGGAAAATATATTTAGGAAAATAAATTCCGAGAAAGTGAACGTATTATGAGATAATAATCGCAACAAAAACTATTTTTTTAACAAGATCTGTGGGGTTTCCTAACAAAAAATCAATTGGAAACAGAAAGAGTGCGAACTCAAGTGCGATAACTGTTTCTGGCAGCAGTTAATTCCTCGGAGATGCTTGTAAGAAACAAGAAAAAACAAGAAAAATCGTTAAGTTCGGTTATACAAGAACTTAGATCGGTCAGTTTGTATGGCAGCTATATGCTATAGTGATCCGATATCGGTCATTCCGACATGCAGCTTCTTGGTGAGAAAAGGACGGTTGCAAAATTTCAGATCGATATCTCAAAAACTGAGGGACCAGTTCATATATATATAGACGGACAGACATGGCATAAAAATATTTTGGTTCTGAACAAATTTTTTTTTTCGGCGCCTTCGTCCGTTGCCGAACCTTGAGGGTACCGTTGTAGATGGCTTTTCTGATCAGCCGAGGTTTCTTCGTTAGGGAAATACGCTAATATGGCAGAAAAATTATTTGCGCCTGGTAAAGAATTAGCGAAACCTAAAAATGGTAGAGGAAACAATGCGGGAAGGGTATTGTTTTTTTGCCGTATAAAATTAAAAACTTAAAATGTTGGTTTTTGACTTTGCAATTTTCTGTATGCCACACATTTCAATAAATCTCAAGCGTTTTGCGCTACGCTTTGCTCTAATGACCGCACGTAGCTGGCCAACATTCTTTGAATTCAGCACCACACGCTTCAACAGCAGCTGCTCGAGGCGCTTTTCACAATGATGTCAACGACTTACAAGCAACAACAATCATGTATATGGTACATATTTGTATATACTTGTGTCCATGATTCCCAGCGCGTGGCGACATCCTGTGTTCTCATATATTGGCAAATGAATAACTTCCGCTGTGGTCGTCTACGTTTCAGCAACAACAACTACAACAATGTGCTGCTTACGTCTTTTCGTTGTTGTCCTCATAGGGTGTAAAACGTCGAGGAGAAAAGCAGGAAAAATGTGGAAAAATATCTCAAAATAGAAAAAGCTGACAAAATGAGGGCCGTCGGGTGGCTTTAATTACGTTATTTCATTACACAACGCAGCACAGAAGTGGCAGTCGAGTGCGCAGAGTAGCAGAGTGGCAATCTACACCAGCCAGCTCACCGCTCACTGTTGGCACTGCTGTGGTAAATAGCAACGCATAACGTAACCGCAAGCAGCGTGAGTGGCAAGTGGCAAGTAGCGTGTTAAGCAAAGCAAAGGAAAGTCAGGGCAAATGCCAAAACAGTGGCAAAGGCAGTTGGTATGGGGAGTGCGGGTGGGTGCTTCAGTTTGGTGGCAGCTAGCGCGAAGTGGCAATTTAGCAAATCATTGTGGCGAAAAGGAACGTGCAAAGTGGCCACTTAAAGCCGGCTGCAAAAGTTTGTCGTTGTTGTCGTCGCTAACGTCATTGGTGTTTTCACGTGTTCTTTTTTTCTTTCATTTTTCGCTTGGCGTCAGTGTAAATGACATTTTTAATTAATACTTTAAACAATAATTACGAATTTTTAATGTTCTGCACACGTTTTTAATGCGTTTAATTCATTTCAGCGCAAATTGTATTTACACGAAATATTTCAGCGTGGCATTTTTGAGGGCGTGAACGCTACGTAAGCAATTACACATACACAAACACATACATATATATTATATATGCATATATGAGTTGTTGAGTACGCAGAGCAGATGTTGAGCGGAAGTTAATTAGCAAATGTGCTGACATTGTGTCAAGGGAGGTTTATACTTGAATGTGTAAATCAGTCTTTATCATTGTACTTACTTGTAGCTTATAGTAAAATGCTGTGGCGCGATTTGTCTCACAGTTTATTGATGTGTTTTCGCATAATTTCGAAAATAATGAATATTGCTGGATTTTGCTACTAACTCTTGTGGTTTCTTTTTTAGCATGGTTTAAATAAATAAATATTTTACTAAATGTATTCACAACAACATCAGTAATTCGGTGTACTCTTAGTGTAAGCCTCAATTCTTATTGTATTTCTAATACGTTTTTTGGTTCAGTAGATATTTAGTTTTATTTCTTGACACTAGTTGCGTCTTCACTATTTATAAGATTTTTATGGCATACTTTTGGTCTTCAACTACCGTTACGCTATCGACAAGATATGAGAGTATACTCGAAGGGTAAATGAACGATCACATGCCACAGTATTTATATCCATGACTTCAGCTGTCAAATTTAATAACCTTTGCTACCATAAACTTTATTGGCACTGGGCAATATTCTCACGGCTTGCAACCAAAATTGTACCTAGCATAACTTTGGTAGTGGATCGCAGTGGGCTACTTGGCTCCTTCTCTCGTCCGTTCACTCGTCACAAGAACAGTTCGCTGAGAGAGTGTATTTCAAGTGTTGCTTAATTTTTACCTGAGAGTCAATGAAAATTGGCAACATTGCATTCTTTGGTTGATGATTTCAAAGTGTGAATGGTTCTGCTTCAACATCATAAATGCAAACTAAGAAACCGAATGATGACCGCCTCATACTATAAAAATGTTATGCTTGTAAGACTATTTTAGAGAAATCTAACACTAACTAATCGAACATTTGTATACACCATATGTTCTACCGCCATTACAAAAACACTCATATTATAAAGCAGCTTTATTCGAGATTCGACTGAAGTGTTTTGATGCCCAAAAATGCAAGGACTTAATAAACTACCTTCGTACATTTTTCAACCTCTTCCGAAATCACTAAGATTTATGCTACTTGAAGATATACTACTTATATATAATTTGGTATAAAGCACCTAGTAGCTTTGACTTGTCCCGCGGCCGGGCGACATAATTGGTGACGCCGTTAAGTGAATTCTTCTTCTCAACCACCGTTCGTGGTGAGTGGCACTTGAGCGCATTTGCAGCTGCAACTTTGTCAACTCGACGAACTCACCAGCAAAGATGACAAAAGTAGAGAAGCAAAAAAAAAAAAAATGGGTATATATGTTATATATAATTATCCTACTGTTGTTGCTGTTGCATAGGGTGGCACTTTTCGTTGTTGTTGTTGCTGTTGCACTTGAAGTCAACTCGTTAAAGGTAATTGCTGCTGACTCTGCCCATTTCCAGGTGCATGTCAAAGGATCTTCCTGCTGGTTTCTTTGCTTTTGCAGACTTTTTTTGTGCTTTCTTTATTTTGCATCGCTTCTTCGCCGCCGTCTGCGATTCCGTTTAAGTGGCAGAGCTGCTTATTGCTCCGGCGCTTAGGCAACGGTATCATTCTCTCGAGTTTAATAGGATTTTTCCAGAGACGTTCGTTTTCTTCGGTAACATTAAAAGCTCCAGTTGCTTTTCGTTTGAGTTTTTTTACTCATTTTGGTCATACTAACTATAACACCTTCTCTTATGTCCTGCTAACACAAACAAACATATGCTTGTATTATATGGGAATTTATGCTGATTAAAATTTAAATGACCCATGAAAATGTGTTCTTTTTCGAGTTAACTGAGCAGAAGCTTTTGAACTTTGTGCTTGAGAGCAGTTAGCTGATTGGACCATTTTGTGTCCCAGTAGAGAGGTTAAGAGTTTGGTATAGCGTCTTTTTAACGCAGTTTTTGATGTAAGATTATTGACAGATTTTCCAGATGATTTTTTATGTCAATAATAATTGAGGGTCTCTTTAGAACTTAATGGAATTTTGGATCTCTTATGAATTTATTTTAATATATATATGTGAAATATTTTGATAATACCATATATATTTTATTTATAAATTAATACCCAGTCCTCGACGAACCAGTCAAATGCCGTTTTTCGCTAAGCTACAACCCTACAGGTGCCTATGCACTTGGCCGTTCCATTAGATGAGTGGGCGCTCTTGTTTCCGTTTTTCATCCATGGGTCTCGACGAGCGCACTATCCCGGCAAATGTTGTAAATAATTGTTTAGTCCGAAGCCAAACGAGTCATCACTTTGAGCACACTTAAGGTTTCACATATATATATGTTTAATGGGTATACATTATATTTTCATAATATTTATTCGTATTTTAATTAGGCAACGTCTTTTGGTTTATTGTAGTTATTTGTGCGGAGTTTAAAATGCCAATTTGATTACGAATTTATAGGGATCATTGCTTTCGGAAGGAATGCCTGGCACAAATGCATAATTAATTCGAAATGATAAGAGGAGAAGCATAAATAAACTATAAGTACATGCACACACACACACACATTTGCATATTTATTTGTGAACCAAGTGAACTGATTTGCAAAGCAATTAATTAGTTTCCGCTAATGCAATATTTTATCTATTCAAAGCGAATGGTATGAGTGCTCTAGAAAGGGCAATTATCTACCGTTGCTGGCGCCGAGTGCCAGATAAGAAACTCATTAGCGAGAGCAAATGCACGAATGCTGAATGGCAAAAGGTAGTTATGGTTTTTGATTGATCACAAATTTTCAATAGACTGTTGAATCCTACCACTGGATGTCAAGAGTTATAAGCATGGCAACCGCATAAATTATTCATAATTAATTAGTTCTAAGTTATTTAGATGGCAAATTGCTTTGAAAAAGGCGTATTTTATAGCAATTAAATTATATATTATATACATATATGTATGTATAAATATGCTTTGCATTCGGCAAATCGTTTGAAGTTTTATCTGAGTGAAAAGCGCATTTATTTCGTTCTAAAAAAAATTGTTTGAATAAAGAAATGACAAAAGTCAAATCCATATCCTTTTTTCGACGAACATTATTTATTTTGATTTTTAATTACTATTATTTTTTTTAATAACTTAGAGAATATAAAATGGAATGAGCAAAGAAGTTTTTTTAAATAATATTTTTATAAGCTTAAGTTTGTTGTTGTTTTCAAAAATGCTTTGTTTTTGAAGTTTGAATATTTTTTACAATTATTTTTTAATATTATATATTTTTCATAAATTTTAGCAGTATCATTATTTTCAAAGCTCAAAATTTTGTTAAAAAGTTATAATATTTTTTCCATGTTGTCAGAATTAAAGTAAAATACAAGTGGTTTGCAACATCTGCCTCTAAAAATATTTTCTCAACTCGCATTAAAATTGACAAAGTCATAGGCATTTCAAGAAAAATGTTTAAAATTTTGGAAATTAATAACCGTAATCATAATTTTACCATAGTTTTTTTGTTTTATCCGAAAAATAAAACAATTCGAGGATAACTGTTTATTGCTGGAAAATACTAATGGAAAATACTATGAATACATGATTCGAGGTATAAAATAAAAAAAGGATATTTATATGGTACTGTTATTTTACGAATGTATGTACACGCAGGGCGCATATAAACCAAATTGTTACAAATAAATATATGCAAGTATTTACAGTGCGGAGTATACCTGTATATTTTCACTTTAAAAAAGGATATTTCTTAACTATGGTAAATATATATATTTCATTTGATTTCGCAGCTTGGCCAGCTCAAATTTGATTAGTCAGCGTATAACAATTGCGCAACGCACGCCACTCGGTCCAATCGAAGCAACCCAAATAACCGTTCTGCTTAACGAAAGCTTTGCCATCCGCGCATGGTAACAATAATGGAGTGGCACCTTCACTGGTGCAGAGATAGAACTTAGTTGGATCCGAACTGGCCTGTGGCTGTTGGACGTTGATGCCGGTACAGTTGCCCACTTCAATATTATATATACAATTGGGATCCATCAAAGCGACTGGTATACAACCAGTGAGCGTCTCGTTACGTACGAAGAAAGTTTCATCGGGACAGTCTTGTATAATTGATGTATTGGTGTCTTTATCGCAGAAATAAAATTTGGTGCCATCAACAGTGCCCCACAATTCATCCTGATACAAACAATCACCTTCATCGACGGCTGTAATGACGGTCATGGTTATGCCGAAAAGGCATGCCAATAAAATTGCAACTGTAAACAAGATAATTGGTGGAAAATAATCAGTCTAATTGAAAAAAAAACCAAAAGCTTTGTATAAATTTATTTGTATTATTTTAGAGTTTTGTTGTCATTTGCCTGGATTTTACTTTTGAATTAATTTAAAGAAGATTTATAAAATACGCATAAATTGGATATGGCATGTTTCATTAAGCTCTTTGGGGGTTATCAGAAAATACTACTGTTTCGACTGTTATTCATTGCTTTTGTATTCTGATGATTTATATTTCATTCCCATCGACCATAATGGTCTCTTGAACCACTATGAGGCTATCAAATCCAGTAAATATCTTCCGTTCTTTTATGTTGTTTCCGATTGTTTGAGATTCTGGAATCATCGTGGTCCGTCGAAATCCTCTTAAAAAATTTGATTTCAAAGTAGCCGCCAAATATACAAATATATGCTTACGCGTATAAAGCCTGAGAAAGAGAAATTCGAGTGCTTTTCTTTACTCGGTGAGAAAATTGTCATCACATAACGATATAAGTAAATTGAACATTTCAGGCTAAATTTCTAAATTTGTGGGTTATATCTTGTCATTGAGCTTTTCTCCAGTGGTACAGTCTACAAATTTTAAAATGTTGGCGCATGGCTTCAATGCTTGAGATATTTTACAGCAATATCATATAGTTACGAACTCAACCATTTGCACTAGAATCGTCTCGTGGTATGGTTTCAAAGTCAGCGTTGCATTTTCGGAAAAGTTGAATATGTTCATACACTTGTATTGTTACTAACATTTGATTGGTGGATCGGACGAAATCTAAAGGCTTTTTTGCTCCCAAATTTAACTAAGAAATAGTTTTTTATCAAATATTTTTCGATAGCACACTTGAATCGAATAGAAAGTTATTGAGGTATGCTCTGTGTCTATGGTCTATTGTGCACTCCCCTCTTTCACAAGACAGCCTAAAAAATTCCGCTTCGTATAGAGTCTCAAAAACAACTTTTAGCTGTTCGGTTACTCCAGGAGTATGTTATGGCACATTTTTCTCACAGTTTTTCTCACAAATAAAACAAATTTTGTAACTAATATCCTCCAAATATTGAAAGATGACAACTTCCTGGTAAAATTCAAATTTCAATCCCTCCTTTAAACTCCTTTCTTTTACCAAGAGTTGTACGAATAGATGTGTAGCACTTTGCCTGCAAAAATTCTACGTCTTCATACATATCTAGAGTCAAAAATTTTTTGTTTTAAGTATGTTTAAATAATATTATATTACAATATATTTCGAAATTTCTCATTTATGCAACGAAATTATTTTTATGTTTTTTATTTCATTTGTGAATTATTATTAAATTGCGATATCCTTTTTGCATTTATATCTATATCCTTTAAAGTTTATCATGTTACAAAACAATTTTTTAAGTTTCAACACTTAACTAAGTAATTTCCACACCTTTATTATCGTTTGTGCGCGACATCACTTCAATCTATGCCTTTCTATTTTTACTTTTCACGCTCTTGCGCTGTTTCGTTTACGATGTTCCGGTTGATCCGTGATAAACAAGAATTGAATGTAAACTGATTTGAATACTTTTGAATTTGGCATTTTATTACCTTACTGACGTATCCCCATCGCCAATTAATTTGACTTATCGTGTTGTGTTTTCCGCAGGCCTTTAATTTCACTTGTGTTATCTTTCTATTTGCAGATATAAATTTATATTTTGGCAACGCTATAAATATTCACATGCATTCAGCATACAATACTGTATATATACATACATATATGAAACCGGCTTCGATACTTTACAGTCCATATAACAAATATAGATTGTCTCGTATAGTAAAATTACCATTTTTAAATTAATAACAACGCAATGTATGGGAAGTTCCCGCATTGTTTCCTAAGAAATCAATTCCAAAACTAATGGGTCAAAAATTCTTAAGTCCATAAATCCAATATGTTTTATAACAGACTCATATAATAACATCGTCACTTTAATGGGTGCGCATAAATATATTTCTTTGTGATCTCATTGGCTTCTGTTGAGGTAATTCTTCATGTCTTGGCTTTATTTAGAAAATGCACTCATGTTCCAAACCGTATCAAAACACGCATGAGGGAATAAAATTCACATATAGAAGTTATGATTTATGATCAATGAAATTCGGGCGAACAGTACATCATAAATCACCGTACATACAATTAATTCGTTGAAAAAACTTATGTCATCTTCATGTTTTTTAGAACAATTAAATTCAGAAAAAAAAATTCAAAGAATTCAGAAAGAAAGTGATATGCTTGTGCTATAAATATTATACCTTATAAAATCATTCTAACACTGATTATATTGATATATATGTAGGTATGTACATAAATATATACATGAATAGTTTTTTGAATTTATGGAAATGTTATTTGAAAAATAACTAGAACATTGCTTACTAAAATTTATTCAGACTAATCGAGTTGATTATGAGAATTGAACTGAAAAAAATCGATACATATCTTGAGTTCATAAGTTCTCAGTTTAATTTTCTGATCACTCTTTACTACAAATTAGTAAAATATATTTTATATTTATAATGAAAATATTGATTGGGCAATGTTTGTTTGCAGGTCTTTCTTAACTTTTAAAAAAATTTCGTTTGAACTATCGGAGGAGAAGCGGCACATGTGGTTTTCAAGTGAATGCGTTGGATGCGATTTTCTAAATAATATATGTAATGTACATTTCTCGTAAAATGTTGATTCTATCTTATCCAAACTAAGTAAAGTATAAAATATTAATTTGATCAAATAATGCTATGAAAATCGTAAAATATCGTATAAAAACCATGTACACCATACTTATAATAGTATTATCAAAACATCTAATAGTTTCATAACTGTCAAAAAAATATATAATAGATGGTATGTATGATATTTGTTTACATTGAAGTCATGTCATATTCCGGCATTCAAATACCGTATATTCTGATTTTCAAATACCCACTTTAGTTAAAGTTGATATCTCAGAAACAGCTGTATAAGTAGTGGATTTATTAATAAGAAAATTACTAGCTAAAAAGTTTACTTTTTTTGAGTATTTTTTAATGATTCAAAAATTAAAATGTTACAGGTTTTTTCAATATCACTCCTACGCTTCTGAAATCAAACATGCAAAAACTTTAACTTCGGTTGCACTGAAGCTGTAGGACCCTTCACAAATACAAAAAATGCCTTACAAGAACTTGATCTAGTTTGGTCAGTTTGTATGGCAGCTTGATGCTTTAGTAATCCAATCTAAGCGATGTTTTCGGAGAATGTAACATTGCCTTAGCAAATAAACCATGTCAAATTTATTGCATGTATCTCTTTAACTAAAAAAGTTTTCCATACAAGCACTTCATTTCGATTGTTCAGTTTGTATGGCAGCTATATGATATAGTATATAATAGAGTATATCAATGACCGTATTCTATGGTTATGAAATAATTCTTCTTCAAAATACTTTAGCAATGAATATTTGTATAATACCCATATTTAAAATGTTGCCCTGGCATATAAAAAATCGTATGACCTGACTGACGCTGGGTTCATTACACTTTTAACCATTGAATGGCTTACCAAACTCCATTTACAAATACACCCATTGCAGGCAAAGTCCAAAAGCCGCTATGTACATATGCATATAGTATATCAGTTAGTTTGTGTGTGTGTTATTTAGCGTTGAGTTGCAGTAGCTGTCAGCAATCACTTTTTGTTGTTTTCTCAACGAAACTTTTACAACAAAACTGCAGCAAAGTTCGGCAGTTGCACACACACACACATATACATATGCAATTGGGAGAATTTCCTCACATCATTGTTAACTCTTTGCAATGGCGGAAACGTCAACTGACAAACAACAACACCAACAGGCAACCAGCAGCAACTCTAACAAGTGTTAACATAAACAAATCGGATTTGTTCGAATTTAGCTCAGCCTAAACACAAGTCAATTCGTATCGGCTCAGTGGCTCACACATGCTGGCACACATAGTGGTGAAGATGTACTGCAGTGGTCCTGCGTATTAGTGTGCAAACACAAAGTTACGTTATTGTTAGTATTTCAATAACAACAACAACTGTCCGTTTATGCATTTCATTTTGTTGCAGCAGCGAGTACCATAAAGAACGACACCAACCAATACCAACGCGCCGCACCAGCACTTAAACCCACTAACAAAAAAAAAAAAACAGTGGAAAAATTGCTACAGCAACAAAGCAATCAACAATCAGCAATGAACATCCGACTGGCAATCAACGCCGGTTGTTTCCAATTGATGTTTCTGGTCGCGACCGCCTGTGCCACCCTGTGTTGCCACCGCTGCGAAATGCCGCGTGCTGGTGAGGCTTGTCAAAACGTTTGAACATGTCAAATTGTTGCTGGGTATTTTTGGTATTTTAGCATTTTTGCCCAGCTCTCCAAATGGCAAAGCACTTGCAAGGGGATTTGCCTTTGTTGCAACACGCATTAAATCCAGACAAACCACTTTTACGGCGCGAGTGTGTTTGTGCGTGTGTGTGCCTGTTGCCCTCAGGAGGGCTTGTAATCGAGCCACGTCGTTGAATGTGCAATTAATTTTAGGGCTAAGCTTTTAAGCTTGTGTAACAAAAATGTGCCAATTAAGTTAGTCAAAAGCGTTAAATTGTAACGGCGGTTGCGCGGTGGTCTAGTGGGTCAGCCCGGCTTGCGGACCAAAAAATTTTGCGGTGAAATAAAATGTGGAAACTTAAATGAAAATTGTTTAATTGTGGAGATTTGCAAGTGTGCAAGTTTGGAAAATAAGTGGCAGCAATAGCCCTATTAGCTGTTAAATGGGTTATAACCTCGTTTCGGAAATAGAGAAATTTTGAGTTCTGAAAAGCGTGTCATGTAGTATCTGCAATCATTGAGATTTAATACTTCGAACACTTTTGCTGTAATTTTGCTGACAAAACGAGAATCTGGGCTCTGATTTAAGCTTATAAATAATCGGCATATATATCTTAATCGACAATATAAATTTAAGAACACGCCTCGAGAAAAGCCGCGCTCTATTTATGTGAACTAAAATCGTTTGTTCGTAGGACTCAAAGTCTAAATAAAGTTGATTAGAGATAGCATTTTTAAATAATTTTGTTATTTGACAGAACTCAAAGTCGAATTATTCAACATATTAAAAACAGGCAGGCGCTTGAATATGCTAGCTAATCTGAAAGGTGTTCGAGAGATGGCAAATGCAAGGTCGGCGTTTCCAACAACCAGAAATTTGCACAAAATTTCAATGTAATATTCTATTATTACGAATATTAAAGATCTAGTCGTATAAGAAAAGGTATTTAAAACTTATGTGAATGCCATCAAATTGAGCTCCTCTTCCGAGAGAGTTACCCTGAGCTCTGGGAGCATTTCTGCAATCTACGCCTATGAAATGATGTAGTATTGTAAGTGTTCTTCAAGAAACTCAACTCTACATATACAAGTATGTACGCTCTTTACTACCGACACTGAATTAAGTAATAACTTTCAAGGTCAAGTTTGAAGCATCTATTGAAGAGCTTGATCAGATTTCAAAGAAATTATACATAACAATCATTAACACTCGCATGAGACTCTTAACCTCTGTCAATTATAAAATTTGGCATCACTGTGAACCTTCGTCCAAAACAGTTCATAATTTAAACCTGGTAATTTAGTATTCAAGGCAAATATTACTCAATTTTTATCAAACTCAAAGCATATGACAACTTTTCCGTAAGGTTTAATAACTACTTTGTAAACCAACGACCTCTAAAATTGTCTAGATTCCTGAATAGCGGGTTCTTGAAATCGTGAACACAACTGAATCAAGCATTCCTTTAGAAACGAGCTGGAATTTTAATCTGAGTTGCTTGGCGACATATTAATCATAGAAAACAATGTATCTAACGGTGTTCGAGGTGTCAAATAACTTTGATTATCAGTTCCTACCCATATCTCATTCAACAACAAACATTATTACCTCAGTACATGGTGGTTGACATTTCCAATTACAAACAATGGAGATTGTATGCTACATACACATTGTTTCCGAACTTACATTAGTTGATACATATATACAAGTATTTGTCTGTTTATATCTACATGTAAGTATTTTTTTCGTTTGGAACACTGATTGCACACAGCTGACACCAATATCGTTTACATTGCTGCCAAATTGCTCAGTCGCGAGTCTCACCAACAGCAACAACGTCGCAGACCACACTGCCATTGTGCCAAACGACACTGTCATAAGCGAGAATGTGTTGCAATTTCTATAAAAGTAAATGAGAATGACACCGCATCGATCAGTCAATTTGTGCAAGTACGCGCACACGACGGCGATAAATTCATTAACCTGTTTATGACGACAACGCAAACACGCGAATCTAACCATAAATAAGGCGATAAGTTATCGAGCAAGAGCGAACACGAAAAAGCAGCTGTGAAGTAGCAAAAATAAAATAAAATGAAATGGCTGACGATGGTGAACTTCCAAGCACCGATTGTACTGATCTCCTTGCTGACCGTCGTATCCGGGGTCAAAGCGAACGCCAACAACTCTGCTGTTAGCAATCCCTCACACCCTAGTGACTCGAACTACTGCAATAGCGCCACGCAAGTCCGCATGTGGGGCGATGTTGATCCAAACATATTTTACATCTGCGATGAAATGACCAACGCCACGCGCCAAATGCGTTGTCCGGCGGGACGTGGCTTCTTCCGTGGGCGCGGTTATTCCGGTTGCATACCGTACGCTGAGTGGCCGGCCTGTCTCGATAGCCGGATCCACAGTCTAAATCGTAGTAGTAGCGGTAGCCAGAGCAGCAATGCCACGGCGAAGCTGTGCAAAGACGAAATGCATCTGCAGCAGACCTGGGCGGCTGTGGACCCGAATAAATTTTACATGTGCCAAAGCGAGGACTCCGCACCACTGCTGTTGAACTGTGAAGTGGGCAAAGGTTATGTCAGCGCCTGGGCTGGCGAGCGTGGTGGCGTCCATAGCGGGGAAAGCACGCACATTGTGGGCTGTGCCGCATGGCAGAAGTGGCGCAAGTACATGCATTGTACGGACTTTTATTGAGATTTCCGCTAATTGAGGTTAAAAAAATTAAAACTTCCGACGCAAAATATGAGTAATAGGTAGGTGTATGGGCGGATGTTGTACTGCAGCGTGAGGGGGCTGAGTGAGTGCATTCATGTGTCGCTGTAGTTCGAAATATTCAATACAAAAACAAACATACATACGCAGCATGTACCCATCATATGTGTATGTTGTTGTTAGTGTTTGTACTTTCATGCAATAAATTTGTTTTGCTTTTTGTTTTTGTTTATGTTTTTATACGACCTCCAATGACAACAACGATGTGACAGTGCATTCATGTTGGTAAAAGTAAAAAATGTAATTAAGTTAAAATAGGTATGATAAGTTCCAAAATTGTTTTTCGACTGATATTGTTGATAAGATAGCGTGCGGCTGTAAATTGTGTTGGAAAAAATCTCGGCACGGTTTCGGGTTAATAAATAAATTGATTGAAATTGCTGTGGGCCATGAAATTGGAATGCGATAACAATTACGAATTGCTGCTCGCAGTGGTTCCTAGAAATACGACGAGTGAAATGATAATGATAATGTGTGTATGTAGGTGCATATTGAAGCAGATATATAGTATACCGTGAACAAAGTTTAACCAGATTTTATGAAATTTTATAAAGAAACTCATTAAGTTATGCAAAAATTTTCTTAAATAATTAAATATATATATAATATATAAACATGCAAGTTTTATATCTTTAAATTATTTAATTTTGTTAGAAGTATACCTAAGTTGGAATATATAAATCTTAAAATATACTTAGCATCAAAATAATTGGTTTTGAGTAATGTGTTTTTTGTTTTTTGTGGAGATTTGATTTTTTTTTGAATATTTAAAAAAACTTCACCAAATTATTTTCGCACATTAAACTAGTTGATAGAAACTTTTAAAAGGGTGCATTTTTTTTGTTCATTAATGCTGTTCTAAACAATGCTGGTAACTTATCAAAAAAGCAAAGTTCATATTGACTCAGTATTAACTTCGATATTGTGAATCGCTATATTCAGGAGCTAATTTTTCAAAGAAATTCATTTATTTCGAAAGTCTTGAAATCGAGCCAGCTTGTCTAAACCAGCAACTTATACATAGGTGGAAATTTTTTAGTTCGCTATAACTGCAATTCGGAAGCAGATGATCACTAAAATGAATATGAATGCCACTATATTAGGTTAAAACATTGTCTGCTTAGTTATTGTTACGTTAACTATAGAATAAACTGCCGATTTCAATAGGCATAATGCTATTTATGTGGGCCATAAGATGCCTACAATCTTAACACATACATAATGTGCTTGCCGTTTTGGCAAGATTAGACACTTGCCATCCTTCAATGCCATAGTCGGTTTTAAAGGGGGTTCATTAGTCTAAAAGTTTAAAAAAAATTAAACATTTTTTTGCTTAAAGTACATTTTATAGTCCCAAAAACATTATTCCATTGGTAGAAAAGAACAAAGAAGTTCTGTCACTTTCAACATGTATTTATATAGACTAAGATCTCATTCTTATTCTGTGTCAAAGAAACAGTTTTGAGGCAGTTGTTTCCGAAAGCTAGCCTAGTAACAGCGATTTTGTAACATACTTGTATTTAATAAAGTCTAAAAGAAAGAAATTCGATTCTCTTTTGCTTACTCATAGAACAAATTGTCAGAGTTAGTATTCCTTATAGGGCTCTAAAACGGTCTAACCGCTTTAGGCATTATTCATTAGTAACACTTACTTAATACGTGTAAAAGAATCGTATAATCGTGTAAAAGAATATTATACCTTTAGCTAAGATCGATATAATAAATTTAATAAATAAATGCCCAAAAAAGTTTTAAAAATTGAGGGTAAACGTATCCAGCGATGTATATATTAAGAGAGAAATACTCCAGCAACTCATTCATAGACTGCAGAATAATTTTTAAAAATATTAACTGTTAAATATAAACGCCACATCATCATCCTGATCAGTATTATAAATACGAGTATACAAATTGCATAATAAAAAAGAATGCATCTTCATATACTGACTATATATAATATTGTATGTTGCCACTGAATTTAGGTTACTCATACGCCAGCGCGGTCGTAAATGCCATGATTACTCATAGCAATTTGGAACAAATTCTATTGGAAATTCCATATGCACAGATATTTCTACATCAAAATAAATTTTTGCGCTTCCATATGCACCTTGTATATTTCAATGATTGGTGGTTATGTAACAATAGACGTGGCAATACCTCTGCACACCAGTGGCTCATCACAAATAAAAGCATGTTGCTGCATATTGATTTTTATTTGAAAATATTTGCCAGTTATGTGTTTTTCATTTCAAATTCATTTATATAAATTTGTATATGTGTGTGTGTGTGTGTGCGTTTGTATGAGCGCAGCCATAGATGACAAACAATCACGAAAGTCAACTTCGATGAGCGTCAACGAAATTGAAAAATCCATGCGGTTTCATGCTTGTAAACTCAGTTCCAACCACTTTGCCAACTTTGGCAAAATACACCCAAAGACATGCACGTGTGTATGTGATTATGGTCTATGTTACCACAGTAAAATAAAAATGATGTTGAAAATGTAAAAAAGGGAAATCGAAAATATACGAAATAAATAGATTGAGTATGTACATAGTTCATCCATGACAAAGCTGGCAGGTAGATACCCGTGGTGGATCCTCTGCAACATTATGCTTGTAATTGTGTGCATAAAAGTGTGTGTATTCTGGCTGGCTCTTCGTTGTTTGCATGTCAAAACGCTGGTCTAGGTGAGATTGCGCGCATTAGCAATGCCGCTTGCTGCTATTATCCAGCTAACATTCAGCCGTGGCTGCGGGCAGAGGCGTTGAACGGTGGAACTCCACTGTCGCAATGCATCATGCAACTTTTCAATTAAGAAATATTGCCATATTGATGCGATATTGGCGCATGTTGGTGAATGAAATGAAATCCATGCGCTGGAAAAGTTTCGAACGGAGTGTGGTTTAGAAAATAAATTACATACGTGATGGCAATCGGGCATTGTTTCCAGTTTCATCTGAGCTTTTCTTTATTGTTTCTGAGAAGCGTGTCTGTTAGTTAGGTTAGATTTGTGTCTTAACTGGATAATTATATTGGTTTGGTGTTACAAAATAAATATGTATTTTGTGTTTTAATTAATATAAGGTTTTATTTTACTTATGAATGCATTAAGTATAGTACTATATGGGATATCTGCGGTTCTTTTTATATAAAGATTTTGGTTTTTCTCTGCCAGCTATGCCGAGAAAAAAAAGATGTCGTAAAACCTATTTTGAAAGCAAATAAATTATCGATGAATCATAACTTTTCTTACTTTAGGTTTGTGACTTTGCTAAAATTCATAACCTTGCGTAAATTTTTAGACAACGTTTTATAATATTTGATTCTCTACCCACGTTATTGAAAAAATGCGGAAATTAATACGAATTCGCTATCATCAAACAAACCTTCATAAATATATTTCTATTTGTTGATCTATCCACTTTCCATTCTATTCACTCATCCGAATGACATTTGGATTTGTTGTATCAACGAGCGATTGAAGCGCGGAATTTTATACATATTTGGTTTCAATTTATCCACGTTTCTATTTACAGATATATTTTTCAATTTGAAATACGCTGTCGTCATCGTCACTATCAGCATTTGAGCGCGTGATACCGGTGTAATGAAAATGTGCAAAAGAAGAATGAAAGAATAGTAGGATGAAATGATGATTGTTTAACATATTTGTTTGCTTGTTTTTTGTTTTTGTTCTTTGGTTATCTCAAACTGGCAAAGTCAGGCTGATTGGTGTCATATGTTTTAATTGAAATGAAAACTGATAACTTAGTGAGTCAGGTATTCGGTTGCATCGCTATAGCAATTTAGTATGAATTGCTAAAATGGAAGTGAGGTTTATTGGGTAAATGGACTTTAATCTAAAAAAATGGAATTTCTAAGTAGTAATTTTTAAAAGAGAAAAGTTGGTATCTTATTATCTAAATTATTTACTACATATACACTGCACATTTTAAGAACTTCATTTTTGAATAAAAATTATCTAAAATCAGATTTTATGAGTATGGAATTCATCTTTTTTTATTAGATGGAAATAATTTAATTCCACTACGTTCACTATATAAGTTGACAAAATGCGTAAAATTTTCCAGCAAATGTGAACTTTCTTTGTTTCACACCTATATAGTGCAAAATTCAATAATAAATCAATTATTTTCATATTTCCATAGGTTATACCGTTAAAAGTAACATATTAAAATTGTAGGTCAATATCTTAAATATATTTTGAGTTAAGGCTTTCTAAAATGTAACCGCTCCGTGCAATCAGCTTAATCAGTTTATCTTTAAACATCTTTTTATCGAAACTAAATTTTTTAGTGTGTCTGAGTGACTACTCGGAGACAAAACATACAATTACTATTACATTTGTTTCTACATGAAAAATACGATTTTTTGATCTGCTAAAAAAATCGAATTTTGGCAGACCGATCAAAATTTTGGGTACATTTCAATTTTATTTTACCTCCAACATTTTGCAAATGCTAATAGAAATTTTATTATAAAATATTTAATCATTTTTCAAAAACTTTTCTGTTTATTTATAAAGTATTTATAGTTATATTCTTAAAATTTTAAAATAATTGTTAAATTAGTTTTTTAATAATTCCCAAAAATCGCCTATTTGTTAGGCTGTCACATTAAGTGGCACCCCTTAATACTTCAGAAAAACTACTAGACACGTTCTAGATAACTGTTGAGTAAATTAATCTTTTTATACTCTCTATTTTCAATAACATCATCTAAGTAAAAGTTATTGTTATGGCCAAATAATGAATAATATATAACGTTGCCTACAACCAGGCCCAAATAATAATAAAGTCGTACAGCTATTACCGCAATAAAAAAGTGGTAAACTACATTTTTATAACATATCACTCGTTCGGGTTCGCAGATTATTGCTGCATTAATCTAAAAAATCTGTAAATAATTTAATTTCCCTTTTAAAAGCCATAACAAAGGAACATATTCTCTCTAAATCTTTTATAGTATTTTTTTTTTACGAAGACTTACTAGAAGCTATTAATTCTATATTTACATTTTTAATATTATTTTTTGTTTTGGTGGCCCCTTTGATTTATTCTTATGTTAAATTTAGACATTCTCTATGAGTCCATATACATATATGCGTATAGTAGCATATCAAGTCAATTTGCTTCCATATATGCCTATATAACAACTTACAGCCTGTTCGTAAAAAACTAAATCAACAAAAAAGCAAAAACAAAAAAATTAGATCGTATGTATCATTTGTTTTGCTTGTGGTTATTTTTATTGCCGCAATTTCACGACTGAGCAAATCGGTATGAAACAGCAGCACATTCCTCAAAGCTCATAGGCAAGACGTTTATAGCAATGGCGCATAAAAGCTTACAACCTAAACGCCGAAAATCTGAAATGACAACAAATACTTGCTATTCCCCCTTTTTACACACACACAGCCGCACCTTAAATAGTAAGGGCACTTGTGTGCGAAATGGGCGAAAATGATTTATTAAAGCAAATCGCATTGCAGTGCAGCGGTTGACAGCCAACTATGAAAACGACGGTAAAATTTTTTTGCGGCTTAAAAGGTAGTTGGGTTGTGGTAAAATTTCAATGGCGTTGTTTGCGGAAATTTGTCATGAGAATAATACTTTTTTATTTTTGACTCAA